GTGCAAGTCTCTCCGTAGTGATGATGATCAAGCTAAGCGATTTATAATTTAGCGCGTGTGTGTGCTTGCATGCATGCAAACAGCTATTACGGTGAATTACTTTTCTTTCTTTCTCTGTTTCTTTTTTGTTGTGAACGTTTCAGCTAACTGTTGGCAAGAGGAGGATTTAATGTGAAAGGTGTCGTATTATATCACTGTAAGTGGAGCACTTGACATCTGAAGTACTGGTTACAAAAGGTGACGATTTGATTTTTGTCACCTGTTGATAGGGCCACTTTTTTGCCGTTGTTTTAGTTTAATGATGACAAATGCAACAGGTGATAATAAATCAATGGTGACAGTAGTTCAGAAAAGATGAGACTAGTTCTTCTTTTCTTTTTTACTTTTACTTATAACTGTTTTGAACTGTTTTATTTGGAACATTTGCAAATTAGCGCTGCTAACTCTGCACTTTTCACGCTCTTACGGACTGCTTTTTAATTTATGTGCTGTTTTCCTTGGTAATCAAAACTGTCAACTGCAAACTTGAAATGTTATATCATCTTTCTTTCAAAAGTGCTTTTTGAAGAGAGCATGAGATTAATCTTAACGTGCTAATCTTTCCGTTTAAGTTCATGTGCAACGACAGGTGCGCGCCAATTAAGAATGCAAATTTGCCTTTTGGTGGCCTTTGTAGCGGTCAACTGTGTGGGGATTTTTGGGTTTTTGTTTTCTTTTACTGCCACTGAATATCAATTAATAATACTTGACCGCCACCGCAACCTTTTATGAGATGACATTTTCCGGGTTTACTCTAACACAATGACAACATTTACAATTTAATTACCAAGTCATCATTTTTTATCCTTTTAAATCTACATGAGCAAGGAGCTAATTGTTCAGCACACAAATCGTGTTTGTGTTATCAGGTAATAAACAGGTGGCTTTCAGCATAACTGGGGCGCCATCATCAAACTTGCCATTATTTTACAAATTGTCACAAACTGATCATTAAATTTTTTTATCTGCAGCCACTTATTCAATTGTCATCTTTTAACAAGAAGAGATAACATATCAACACCTAACGTTGAAAAGTGGCTATCAACAACAGCAGCATCTAATAAATGCTCTTCAATTGTAGCAACACGTGTCGGCCACTTTGTGCTCACCACGACCACGTTCTCGGTCACCTATCTTTGCGCTAAATTTCCTTGCAGTGACCTAGATCATTTGACCACCACCATCATTGCCAGCACTATCATCATAATACTGCTGCTACCACCAACATTGCCAAACTTTATGAGAACTCAGAGTGAGAGAACAGTCAATGTCTCAGCGGTCAGTGGGGGAAGTGAAAGAGTGGCAAATCTCATCATCAATTCAAATGAGCACCACTGCCACCACCACCACCGCCACCTCGACCACTGCTTTAATTGGGCAGAACAAGTGCAAGTGCAGACAACAACAACGGCAGCAGCAGCATCAATGGCAGTAGCCGTTGTTGTTGTACAGTAGCAGCCACTAATTCTGCAGCGATATGCCTGTCTAAAGAGGAAGTAGCGTTCGGCAACACAGAAAGACCACCATTTCTGCTGTGTACTTTCCGAGAAGCACAGACACTCACACACAGACACCTGTTGCTGGCGATTACTGCGGGCTGGTCAGCTAGAAACTGCCAGCCAGACAGTGGTCGCCTTTTTCTCTGCTAATGATGTACAGCAGCAGTACGTCCGGCGAAGTGCACAATTTACTCTCTCGCACTTTTTCCTTGCTCCCTTTCTCTTTCATCCTCTACTGCTGCTGCTGCTGCTCTGCAATCACCAACTGCTCTTCAAAAAATTGAACGATAATGGATGCTGCAGCAACAGCAGCAGGAGCCAGCGAAGAACAGAGCTGTCCACTGTTCTTCTTCTTCTTCATCTTCTGTTCTGTTCAGTGTGCTTTCGATGAGCAATCTCGCTTTTTCTACTTTCTCTCTCACTTTCTCTACTTTCTCTGCTTGACCAGAGTGAGAGAGATTGGCGAGAGTGCAATGGCATTTAAGAGCACTGCACTGACCACTTGATTGTACATTCGCAACCTCATCCACATAGTGTGCACATCGTTTCCTTTTTTCCTTTTATTTTGACTTTGTGTGATTTTGGTTTCGAACACACACCATCACCACCACCACTACCACCACCTCACCTCACTATGAGAGTTTTTGTATGTTTTTCATTTGTTTGATTTCTAAAATTACCTTTAGGCTAACCCCACCAACAAATTATCTTTCTGATCTGCAGAAACTGCTAAACCTGAGCAGATTCCTGCCCACGGTGACCATCCTGCTTGCCCTCATCGCCCTCGCCCTCGGCGAAGGCCTCAGCCTGGACTTTGGCTCGTTGTTTGGCTCCATGGGAAAGTCGCACAGCGCCGGCTTCGTGAAGACGCACGCCAGTATTGAAGAGTCACCGGAGATCGGCATCGGCATTCACAAGGTGCCCATCGTCATTCCCCTGCCGACGCTCATTCTGCGGAAGAGCAAGCACCTTGTCGCCAAGGGCATGGTCTCGCCCATTGGTTGCGGAGGGGGCGGCTGCGGCGGCGGCGGCGGTGGTGGTAAGATACTAGATTAAATCATTGTGGTTTTTCCTCCAATTTAATCTTTTTTTGTGAATCCTCTTTTTTCCCAGGTTACATGATGGGCGGTGGTGGCGGCTATGGTGGTGGAGGTTATGGTGGCGGTGGCGGCGGTGGTGGCGGTGGCTACTACTAAGAAGTTGATCCTTTGATGCATCACCTCTTCCTCTTCTTCTTTTTCTTCCTCAATTGCCAAGCTCGACTCCCACTCATCATATCTCCATTTTCATCTTTTCACCGTCATCATTCACTGCCAACACACTCTTCCATTGAAGACACGACTTTTCTTTCCCCTGTTCATTCATCCACTCCCATTTTCTTGTCAGTAATCAAACAACAAAACCAAAAGCAATTTCCGGTTGATCCGAGAGCACAAACATAGTTTCATCTTTTTTTCATGTTTAAAATTTTCTCACCATCTTCTAACTTCTTGAAAAAAATAGTTGCCCATCCTCATCATCTCTTCTTTTTTTAAATTGTATTTTTTATTAAAATTGCTAAAATTATATTAAAAAGTACATTGCAAAAACTGGGGTTAAAAACCAATTTTATTTTTAAAAAAAGTATGCAAAAGTTACAAACGTGTGGGATTGAATTTGAGGGATGTTGAAGAACAAGATTCAGTTCTAGTCTTTCTTTAGCTCTCCAAAATAAAAAAGTTCATTTTTTCAATTTTATGAACAAGTCTTTTAACATTCTTAAAATCGTGAATGTTTTGTGGAAGAAGTTTCAAGAAAAACCAATCTCCGTAGGCGGAGAGGACCAAAGTCAAGCTGAATTTTCGGTTTCCAAAGGTGTGAAGTCGAGCATGAACACCTGNCTGTGCAAGAAGTTTCAAGAAAAACCAATCTCCGTAGGCGGAGTGGACCAAAGTCAAGCTGAATTTTTGGTTTCCAAAGGTGTGAAGTCGAGCATGAACACTTGGGAAGCAATAGATCACTATTCGGTAAAAGATTCCAATGGTGCTGGCAATGAACAAGAGGCGGTACCAGAACCAGATGAATAGGAAGATGTTGCCATTCAAGTCGTTATTGAGGAGCTGGCAAGTGACGGAAATGGGAACATAGGATTCACCAGTTGAATTCAACTGGAAATAGTCACAATTGGTGAACAAAGGAAACACTATGTCGCTAGGGTCATCAAACTGTAGAGAAGACTTAAACTTGAGAACATCTCTTCCGTAGCTTTCAAATCCAAAGTTGATGAACTTCTCAGTGAGAACAATTTGCACAATCACATTGATGTAGTTCCAGCCCTCAACAAACAGGTGCCAGGCAAAGAGGTAGTTGTACTGGCGCTGGCGCTTTTTAAATAGTCTTGCCAATTCTTGCAAAAACTCCTCACGATCAGACGCAGTCAGGACTGGCTGATTCACCGCAAAGACGAGGTGGTCAATCAAGTTACCGACATTGCGTTTCCAGATGACCATTGGAAACCAAAAGGAAAGCGCTTGGAGGAAAAGAACAAAGCCAACCCAGGAGTAGTACTCGCGATGCACACGAATGTAGAGAAACTGCTGATGAAGATTTGAAGGTTAAAGAAGGCCCGGATAGGTGGCTGATTTATTTAGTCCAACAATGTAGGCACTGTAGGTGCCCTGGGAGCGACATACATTGTCCATCATTATATCACCCAATGATGATGAGGTGGCATTTGAAAAGTAGCAGTGGACTGGCTGCTCTGGCTTCAGTGGGTAGCGAAAAGAAACGATCAGGCAGGCAAAAAGGAGAATATTCACTGTTGCGTTGTTGTGCAGCCAGAAGATGATATTCCCCGTAGTGCACATCTTTGGAAGTCTTTTGGAGCGGCTAAAAATGAAGTCAGAAGTTGAGTTTTGTTGCTGAGGAAGTTTAGTTGTTACAGACAAAACTAGTGAAGTGCTGCTTTTAAACTAGATCACCAGTGTGACTGATTCAATGAAGAATTTCTCGTTTTGATCAACATTTTAAATAGGAAAAATGAAGGGCAAGTGAGAGAGCAAAATGGAATGGGTGACGAGCAGTGGTGATCGGCAGTAACCCTACATGCCAATCTCTCTTTCTCCCTTTTTTGGCAATCAGTAAGTCAACAACGAAGCATCTGGTGGCAGTCTGGGGCTGAGTCTGGCGGTAAAATAGTGTCAATAGTGCTCACTTTTTGCAGGAACGGGCAAGGAGATCGAATTTCAGCAATGTCACTAATGGCCAGTGCTTATGGCAAAACACTCGCAGTAGCAACAGTTTCTGCAATCTTCTTATGCATTTGTTCACTAAAAGCAGAAAGCGACCTGGAGACTAGTGAGCTAGTGTTGAAATACATCTGTTGATTTTTTATCTTTCTCATCTTTATCACAAATGTACTTTTCGATGTTTTCAGACAACTGCCTATTTATTTGCTCAAGTTTGAGAAGCTGGTCAAAGAGGAAGATAAAACCTAAAACAATCATTTTGCTGCTGTTGAAACTGCACTGACCTCATCATCGCCTGCCAGCTGGCGAGGTTTTTTGTGATCTTTTTGCCGAACGAGGACTTTTTGCCTCATTTTTGGTGGTTGTGCTTTGCTTGGTGCTTTCCTTTGATGTCTCCTCCACTTTTGCCATGCCCGGCACCGAAGAAAGCGGCTGTTGGCGGCTGGAAACGGCCGCTGAAGAAGCGGCTGCAGAGGAGGGAGCCACTGATGACTCGGCATTGGATGTGGCAGAAGTAGCAGCAGAAGTG